CATCACAAAATGTAAACATTTTGCAACTACTTACATGAAGTAAATTCAAAGCTTCATGTCAACTGTCATTATGGATGTGAAGCTTTACTTTTGCGTTCTTCCTAATATTGCTTGATGAAACAACTTCGCAGCTGTAAAAATCAAGTTGGAAAAATAATTTGAAGGGTCTAAAAGATAGGTTATATGGTTCATAACGAATAACAATGATTCGCATTCCATTGAGTGAGACGTATAATGTTTATAAACTTTAGGGTGTTGAGACTGCACAGTACGGACTGGAAATCATCTTTAAATATATGCAGTGGCTATTTTTAATGTACGTAGACTATGAGTAGTCCCTCTTTCGCTTAGTCCGTCGTGCGTGACGCAAAAGAAAACTGCGAGAAAAATATGGCCGCGAGAAATCTTGGAGACAAGGAGCATGCGAAAGGAGAGACTACCGCCTAAACCCAAGAGTTTGCCCTTTCACGGCTGAGTGATTTTTTGGTGTAGGATTTCTCATCTTGACATCCTCTTATTATCGCCTGTTGTCAATAACCCCCCAGCGACACTTCAAATTTTTTCCGAGCAAGTTAATACTCATGCACATGTCACACAACCTCTGGTTCACAGATTTACTGGCTACAAAGTACACTGTAGGTTGAAAAAGTGCAAAAAGAATCTCTTATAGCCTTTTAAAAAGATAGAATACATTGACTTGGATTGGGTGGTAAGCAACAACTTGGAACTTCTATGAATTTGGACTCTTGTTGGTAGTCCTGTACGAATTATTCGCATTCTTGTTATTCATACAGGAATTTTTCCTGCTTCCATAGCAGACACAGTTTCAGTCAACGTTAGATAGTTCTTTTCGTATTTAGTCCGGCTACTCGCAGTTAGTTTACTGAAGGATGAATGCTTTGAACGTTTTCTCCTTCCAAATCAGGTGAGGAATACATGCACAATGAATCTTGTAACGCAAACTGTTCCACGAAAATACGGCTGGAACGGTATTGTCTGAGGAAAGTGTTCAACTACTGTATGACATTCAAAAATAGGTTAGTGATTCTTAAATTTAATGGTAAATTTTAGTTATACTCGAGGAATCCCGCCTGAATAGCAGATACCAGTCGCTGTACGGTCCCTTCTTATCGCGTGACACGTGAGTGAGTATTATAATATTCGAAGTGTCGCGAGTGGGTCGTTCGCTTAGTATTAAAAGAGTACGCAAATTAATCTGGCTCAAAGAAACGGCACTCATTGGAATCGCTTATTTTTCCTAAAGGTAACTATAACAATTTGGATCAGGGAGAATCAGCAATTACAGAGAAATTCAATGAAATCTTCTGACTCTTGTACGAATAGCAAATACAAGTCGCCGTACGGGTAGCCACTGCGAAATATAAGGTCCAGCAAAGCCACATGGTTTTAGATTTAAATTATTTGTCTTTGTTTACTTCAACAACAAAAAAATGGCTTAAGAGGCTTTTCAAGTGGGAGGAACTAAAACTCACCTCGAAAAAACAGGAATAACATTGAAGTCTGCAGAAGGAATCCACAACACAGCGCCGACATTTTTGTTTTCTTCTAAACTGGCGCCCGCGTAATGCACAGCAGTCGCACTGTAGGCTCCAGTCCCTCTGGTGCTTCAAAATGGCGGCAACCAAGAGGAGATTTACTGTTCCATCTGCAGAGGATTTACACGGGGAGATCCAAGTGTCAAGGCCAAAACCATTGTTTAATACGTACAAGAAATACTGTAAATGTATTGAGGAAAAAAAGGATGACACTTCCACTTGTACTACGAATGTTAATGATCGAAAGGGAGACGAGAAAAATGACCTTGCAGCGAGAACTTTACACGAGCAATCGCAAGAAGATCAAAGGATAGTAGAAGTGACCTTAGATCCAAATCAGGATTCTTTAAGTAAGGAAAGTAATTTGGAGCCTTCTGAAAACAATCACACATCAGCGGCTATAACGAGTGCTGGCGCTGGTTCAGTCAAGCCAACAGTAGGAAAGACATTTCGAGAAACATTCGCTTTTCTGGAGGATACAAGTCACTTTAAAGAGACAGTTGCTAAGATAAAAGAAAAAGAGTATGTCCAATTATACGGTACAACAAATAGTATTGATAAAGATAGCCCAAGCCTACAGACGTGTTTGTTTATACGCAGTGGCTATTCGTACGGCACCCCTACAACGACTTGTATTTGCTATTCGTACGGGAGTCAGAAGATTTCTTTGAATTTCTCTGTAATTGCTGATTCTTCCTTATCCAAATTATTATATTTACCTTTAGGAAAAATAAGCGATCCAATCAGTGCCGTTTCTTTGAGCCAGATTAATTTGCGTACTCTCTGCATACTCAGTGAACGACCCACTCGTGACACTTCAAATTTTTTCCGAGCTAGTTAATACTCATGCACATGTCACACGATAAGAAGGGACCATACAGTGACTGGTGTCTGCTATTCATACGGGATTCCTCGAGTATAACTAATAGTTACCATTAAATTTAAGAATCGCTAACCCGTTTTTGAATGTCATAGTTGAACACTTTCCTCAGACAATACCTGTCCAATTGTATTTTCGTGGAACAGTTTGCGTTACAAGATTCATTGTGCATGTATTCCTCACCTGATTTGGAAGGAGAGAACGTTCAAAACATCCATCCTTCGGTAAACTAACCGTAAGTAGCTGGACTAAATACAAAAAGAACTATCTAACGCTGACTGAAACTGCGTCTGCTGTGGAAGCAGGAAAAATTCCCATGTGAATAGCAAAAATGCGAATAATTCGTATGGGACTACCAACAAGGGTCCAAATTCATAGTAGGTCCAAGTTGTCACTTACTACCCGATCCAAGTCAATGTATTCTACATTTTTGAAAGGCTATAAGAAATTCTTCTCGCACTTTTTCAACCTACAGTGTACTTTGTAGCCAGTAAATCTGTGAACCAGAGGTAGTGACATGTGCATGAGTATTAACTAGCTCGCAAAAAATTTGAAGTGTCGTGAGTGGGTCATTCGCTGAGTATACAGAGAGTACGCAAATTAATCTGGCTCAAAGAAACAGCACTCACTGGGATTGCTTAATTCTTCTTAAGGTAAATATAATAATTTGGATAAGGAGGAATCAGCAATTACAGAGAAATTCAGTGAAATCGTCTGACTCCCATACGAATAGCAAATACAAGTCGTCATATGGGTGCCGTACGAATACCACTGCGTTGTTTATATGTTCAATATTCCTCCTGTCAGAGAGACACATCTGGATCTGAACACTAAATTTGAATTAAGGTCGTTTTCTATCCCAACGATTTTGTTTCACTGTATTGATGTCCTGTCTGCCTATGGCCTAGTCATTTTGCTAACGTCCTGGGTCAGTTCACTCTTACAACATAGCTCTTCAAATAACTACCAAATAACTCTTTAGTAGAAATTACTTAAGACCAAATTGGAAAGTGAGGTAGAAATAGTCATCCTCACTTGACTCTAAATTGACTTCTGCTCAGGTTGTGGAAGCAGGTGCTTTTATGTTAATATAGATTGACTTGGGGTTGACTTGTAGGTTGACTTGTAGCAAGTCTAGGTAGAACATTGCTAGATTTATACGTCTAACAACCTAATTTATTTTATAAGGCAACTATGACAAGCAATTCTTTGATTTGTTACAAGTATGCAGTGTGTATTTTTCACCTAGCCATAATCTTGTATTGCTATACTGCAGTTTTGTCATTTTACTTTGTCATTATATTCAGGTCAACTATAGACGTTAAAGGTCCTCCTGTAAGCTCCAGGTCAAAAAGTAATGCCATCATCGTTAACCCACGACAGGTAATTAACTATTTGAAGTAAACTGAAATAGAGAAAGACAAACACTTGGTTCAAATATGTCAACCTTTAAACCTTTGAATCATAATATTTATTCACTATGAATAGCTAACTTTGGTGGTGTTTTAATTTAGATCTTGTTAATTAAATATTTTAGAAAGGAAATCCAGTATTAAAACATGTGAGGAATGTTCCATGGGAGATGGGAGACATTATTCCAGATTATGTACTTGGTCCAACAACTTGTGCTTTATTCCTAAGGTATGAACCATGCAATTAAATTTTAGTCGTATAAAGATTTGATTGTTCGTTTGTTACATTTTACAGTGTCTTAATTAATAAATTGAACCTTCAACCAGGTTTAATTCATTTCTCACAGCAGGATCATAGTGAGAAACAAACTTAGGAAATATAATATTGGTAAAATTAAGCCACAATGGGCAACAAAAGTAGAGACACTTTTTACAAAAAGATACTTTTCGATATTTAACCTTTTGTTCTATTTGATCTGCATCTAGTGTTAATTCTCTGATACCCCCGGCCCCCCAATGTTGTGTAGGTGCTGTGGTCTTTACAGTCTAAGAAATGTTTCCAAGATGCTCGAAAATTGAATTTTAATGCCAAGTGCCTCAACACTTTTATCACCCATTGTAGCTTGAAAAAATGTTAAATATTAAAGTTAAGAAAATTACATTTATTTATAATATTCTTCATTTGCAAACACATGATTGGTTAAATCAGAAAAGTGCTTCAACATCAGTGTTTTGTTGTTGTATTGTTCTGCTTGATTTACACTTTCTAAGAAGACTAAACAAGAAACCAACAAGAACCATATGTAGCTTACATGAATAATCATATTTATTACAAAATTCTTGACTTTCTTTGGTTCTCTGTGCACCTTTTTGTCACACAATTAGCATTCAGTCATGTGGGTCTCCAAATTACAGCTGTTCAGTCACAAGGTCTTTTGACCAAACAACTGTAATTTGATGCCTATGCCATCTGTGAGTAGTTGCAAGCATTCTTTCTGTTTTTCTGCTGCAACTGTTTCTCTTTACTGGCTCAAAGGTGCAATGTAACTTAAGCTAAGTGGAACAAAGGTTTTAATGAATTTTCTTTCAGTTTAAGGTATCATCACTTTAATCCAGAGTACGTTCATGAGAGATTACGGCAGCTTGGACAGAGATATCAACTAAGAATACTTCTGGTTCAAGTTGATGTGGTATGTAGTGGACTGCTTGGTGAAAATCTTTCAAGGATCAGCAAGGATTTGTGAGGTTCCTTGAAGACATTATGCTGTCCAATCGTAATCAGGATCCTCAAACATCCTGGCTATTAGATCTTAAGGAGGATGAAAAATCTTTAATTTACAATTCTTGCCAGGATTTTCAAAGATCCACATGACTAAGATCCTAACGGATCTTCAAGGATCTTCAAAGATTTTGCCGAAAGATTTTGTTACCTGGAGGATCCTTACAAAACCTTTCAAAGATCTTTTTAAGAGTCATTGAAACATCCTGATCTTGACTCAACTCAGCTCAACTCAATCCCTCTCTGCCATTGTGGAGCATGAGTCCTCAACGAGGTTCCTTTAGATTGCCTTATCTTGGGCAAATCCTGCAGCACTTTCCCAGCAAATACCAGCACTCCTCATCTCTTCTAGTATCATTCTCCTCCATGTTGTTCGTGGACACCCCTTTTCCCCGCAACTCACTGGAGTCCATGTCAGTGCTGGCAGCAGTTCTTGCATGTGCTGTGGGCTTAAGGATCTTAGGAAGGTCTTTAAAGATCTTGTAAGATCCTCAGGAATCATGTAAGGTTTTTCACGAAGTGAAGTTAATCAGAAATGCAATCTACAATAATTACGTTATTAGTAAAAAAAATATATACTTAGATATATTAAATTTTCTGCATTTTTAGGTATTTTCTTATAATTTCTCTGAGACTAAGAGACTGAGCAATGTAACTCTTCCCATAAGTGATCAAGTTGTTAATTAAGTGGTGAGATGTGAGTATTAGTGGCCAAATGCAGATGGTACAACTGTAGTATTTCCATTTGTGGTACCAAATTTCATTTGTGTACCAAATTGTACCAAATTTCCATTTGTTGTACCCAAGTGTCTGGTGAAAAGTAAAGACTTTCATGATAGTTAAATATAAAATGAAGTGATAAATTTTGATGTAATAATCTGTGTGACACTTTTCTGCGGTGGTCATATTTACCATAAGACTGATAGCTTCTTCTTTTCTAGAAAGATCCTCACCAGACCCTCAAGGAGTTAGCTAAAATGGCAATGATGGCTGACTGTACTCTTATGCTTGCTTGGAGGTACATTTTATTTATTTACATTATTATCCAAGTACATTTTTTCTTTGTTTGTTTGGCTTACATGTATTAAGATCTAACTACAGTTACAACATGCTGTAACCAGGCCTAATGGGGTGTGAAAACATCGAATCAATGAACTTTTCCCATTTGTGCCACCATGTTTAACTTTCTTTAATTCTTCAAGTTTGGATTAATTCAGACATGTAGCTGATTTAAATATTTTGATTTCATGTTACGGTTTTATTGAAAATGGGCTCTTGTATGTAAAATGTGGATAAACTTAAAAATGTATGTTTCTAGATAGTAATAATAAAATCCATCTTGTAAATAGGAATAGGATAGACTTGAGACTATTGGTAATTTCTCTGATTTATCACATATTGCAATATATATTTGTGCTTCTAGATGGTAGGCTTATTATTAACGATACATGTAATTACTGTTTGTAGTCCAGAAGAGGCAGGGAGGTACCTTGAAACCTACAAAGTGTATGAAAACAAACCACCTGATGCCCTACTTGGTCAAAGTGAAGGAGATTATCTTAGTAAGGTAATGGCATACCACGTAAAGAGGGAGTAGCTGGTCTTCACACGCAATAACCAGAGATCGGGTGTTTTTTTGTTTGTTTGTTTGTTGTTGTTTTTTTTCGGCAAACCAAATTCGGGAAAAAAGAATGTCAGGTACATTTACTTCATGAGTTGTCTGCCTGTATAGTTCAGAATCTGGACTTTTGTCTCATTGGTCATAAAACAAGAGTTTTTGAGCCATATTCTGATTGGTTACGTGATTGGATAGCTGACTTCTGGTGCAATTCCAAACAGCTGTGGAGATGGTTGTGAACAGCGAATTTCCAGAGGTTATAAATTGGTCTCTTCAAGATTTTATTCTGAAATCCAGGAAGAAGATAGAAGACATGCATCTGAAAGAACATTAGCCATGCTTTCCATGTAATTTGGCAAGAGCATCATTTATCAATTGATTCCAAGTGTCAAAAACTTCTGTAGTTGATGCAGTTGTGGTGAGTTCCCTGGAATTTACCTTTTATACCATTAATTTTATTCCCTCACTTTTGTCACTTCCAGTGAAATAAAAGAATCTGATATTCCACCAATTTTTTTTTCAACAAATTCTTTGTTTCTTGAGGGATTATACATAGACATTACAACTTGCTTTTTCCTTTGCCTAGAAATAAAGTAAACATGTACATTGTACTTTGTCACCTATACCTCTTCCAACAACCCACATAGATTTACGGTAAAATTTAATTGGCTCACATTTATAGCATGACACAAGATAAAATCACTGTTGACAGGTAAGCAATGAAGGGGTGGCAGAGAACTCATGAAGTAAGTGTATTGGGCATTCTTTTTTTTCCCCTTTTCTGGTTTGCCAAAAAAGAAGACCTGATCAAAGGTTACACTCTCAATCTCATGTGAGACTTGCTTGACTGACTTTTGGCTGCTTAAACCTGCTGCTGGCAATGAACCTGCAGTACTATGCTTCAGGTTTATGTTAGGTGAGACACTCGAGCCCAACAGGCTGGCAGGTCAGGCCAAGATTTGAACTAAGAGTGAAGAACCATATGTGCCTGGCTTAATCATGAATCATTTGGCCATTGTCCTAATAGTAGCAAATTTTGGATTAATAAAATTATAATGATACACAGCGCACTGACTGTATGTTAAAAAAATACTATACAGGTTTAAATTGCCTCCCTTAGCTTAATGTCAGAAAACTTCAGTGATATTCTTGACAAAATAACTGAAACTACAGGCAAATGTTTCCCATGGAACTAGTTACGACGCAAATGTGCATGCTGATTTAAGCTTTATGTGACAGATACAGCTGCTTTAATTTGTGTTCTTTTTAAGCTCACAGACTGCCTTACTACAGTGAAGGGCATTAACAAGACAGATGTTGTCTCTCTGAGCTCTACATTTGAAGTAAGCGTGTAATTTCAAATTACCCCTCAATGTTTCAGTTTATTTCACACAGTCAAACAAAGGAATGCAGTGGGGAAATAAGGAGTCAAAAAAATGTCAAATATGTCAAAATTGTAGAAGGATATCTATTTAGTCTTTAACAAAATCATAGGGCAAAATTAGATTTGTAATGATGGTCAATGGGCAACTTTCCCTTCATTCAGAGTTTTCCTGTAGTTACACTATTATTCTTCTACAGCCAATAGATGTTGCAGTTGTGAATTTTAAGCTATGTGAGTTAACCTTAAAATATTCAGGCTGTGTTGATACATGTCTAGCAAAATACCCTTATCTTTCATATGTAGTCCCTAGCTAACATGGCTACAGCTTCAAAGGACAACCTTGCTTTGCTTCCTGGATTTGGACCTCTTAAGGTATTTGACTTTCCACTTACTGTACGCAAGCTTTCAAAATATGAAAAGTTCAATTTCAGAAGGACAAAATTATACATCTTTAGAGAACTGTGCAGCCAAGGTTTAACAGCCTGAAAAGGTAGTGGGTTATTTGTTTGTTGATCGCAAATAGACCCTTTCATCTTGGGTGGTTTGTTGTGACGTTACATGTGACGTTACTCTTGAGAATTCTTGCTTTCAAGCTTTCTAATAGTTGCATGTATCTGAATGAATAAATTTTAGGTGGTACAGTGTTCCAGTCATTAATGGCACAGTAAACAAAACAGTTTTGGTCCAAGTAGTGATTTGATTTAGGCCTACAAGTGCTTATCTTATGTCCATTACTCTGATTAGCACTCACTAAAAGGAAGTTATGGTTTCTTGAAACTTTTGACAATAAAAATCAACGGTAAAACACAACGTTGCTATCGTACTTCGGTCAATTGAACAGTGAATATATATATATGCATGTAAGAAGTATGAAAATGGGGTCTGATCGATCGCTGACAGCAGATGAGGAAGCAGGTTGTTCCGATGCTTTGGCAGCAACAAACCATGAAATAGTAGAGTTCACAAGATTTTCAGGATATTTTAGTCGAGAAAACAATCATTTCAGTCGATCACATTCTTCAGAGAAGTAACGCCAATTGGATGAAAGTTGAAATGCATGATCAAGCATAGTTTCTAATAACCCACGTTTGTATAGGTCATCTACATGGCTCTATTTTGTAATGTAGCAGGAGGCCAGTATTTGTGGGTTTAACATACACCTTAGTCTCAACTTGTAGCTGCATGATTATGTTTGTTGAGCAGCTGGGAGCCCAAAAAAGGAAGCATGCTATTACTTTCCTTCTCCATGGTGAACTTAATAGAGGAATGACACTGGTTTAAAATCTCAAGGAAATTGTCTGCTGATGCTTTGTCCTGCATAATGGTCAGTGTGTCATCCACAAATTTCTTGTAGTATGTGGGCATCTTGCCTTCACAATCCAAGGTTTCTTCATTGCTGCACATAAAAACGTTGGCTAATGGAGGACCAAGGGGGGAGCCCATAGCAACTCCATCGATCTGTTCATATAGCTGGCCGTTGAATGTGAAAAGTTGGTCCTTTGTTGCCGCTCTAAGAAGATCAACAACATCATAGGAAACCAGAATATCTCTGTTGTTCATCGCCAATTCGTGGACCTTGTTCATGAACTTGAAGGTGTTGCTTATCGTATACTGGTTTGTGGCGAGAGGTTTTAGTTTGTCATCTAGCCATTTGGCATAGCTAACTCTTTCTTTCTTATGTTGGTTTCACACGCCGCCATCTGCACCAACGTGTCGAAGAACACAAAAACTCTTCATCAATAGGCAAGCATTTTCGTGTCAAACATTCTTTGGCCCCAAAAGATCTTACAAAGAATTTTAGTGTTTTAGTGAAGTGCACAAACAAATTTGACTGCCTTGTCTATGAGATGTTTTTTATTCACAAGCTGAGA